CCCATGCATAGACCACATCTGGTAAACCACATCTGGGCCATCAAAGCGTCACCATCCTTTGCAGTRTCTGGACTGAGTGTTAAATTGTTAGTGCCTTGTGTGGGCCAGACAGATCAGCAGGTTAAAATCAGTAGACAACAGGCTAAAAGCGAAACACACAGAACGGCAGCTAGGATTGAAATGCAGCTGAAAGCAAAACAAGTTGCCAAAAAAAGGAAAAAAACAGTAGAAACTGTAAAAGATAAAGAAACATAATTTTTACTTTTATTTCTTTCATTTGACCAATATGGTAATGGGTTTACTACATTAGCATGTTTGAGAACTTATTTAAATTATTTGAAGTCTTTTATCCATTAAAAGACATGTTTTGCATTTAAAACAATTATTTTCTTCATTTTTCTTTTTTTTTCTTCTATCAGAWCTTGACTGAATGTACACATGGCTGACATTTGTTTTTGGTTTTTGCAGTTTAAACAAAACCTAAAGATTAAATGGTTAATGGTGCACTGGCACATTGTACATAATTTTAAATCCGGCAGAAGAAAGTGAAGAAATAGGAACTGAAAATAAAAAAAGTTATAAATACACGATTGAGCCAACTTGACCATATGACAATAATCTGCTGAAATGTCTTTTCTAAGAAGAATTCTGTAGAAAAGGCGATGACTTCCTCAGTCTATTCCTCTGTAAATGCTGTTTCAAGTCCCCTTTGTTGAAACTATAGGACTGAAAAACTGTTTCYCCACTTTAATCTGCATTTTTTTTGCTCTGAATCCTGTAAGCAGATTAATGGAGTCAACTGAGACACACTTTAATCTCTGTAATGGATTTCAAGTAGATGGCAGTAAAGTAGCATAATGCTCAGGTTACATTAAAATGCTGTTCACCATGCAGGCAGACAAGAGAGCAATCTGAGTCTGAACCTCCAACAAACTGCAGGGGAGGAAGGAAGACTTTTCTGTTCAAACCTTCCATGTTAATTGTGTGTTATTTTTGTATTTATATTGTGTTTYATTKCTTTTTAAACATTATGGCCTGGGGACTCCAAGTGAAAAACAGCTTTTTAGCTAATTCTGGCTTATTAACATATGCATTGTCATGTGATTTATTAAACTGCACAGTTCACTTTTAAATAAATCACTCAAGTCAAATCAAACTAAACAACAAGATGTGTAAAATGTTGTGGCATCCCTTGAATGAATGAATATTGCCTTTTGCCTTACATGTCAAAGTATATTAAAAAATTGGTCTACAGTCTGCTGGAGCTTAGAGTATCTGAGGGGAACGACTCTCATCTACTACCACAACAAATTTTATTTCAGTAACTGAAAAATTGGATAAGTTGTCGTTTATGTATTTACTGAAGTTGATTAGCTACGGTGGCCATCWTGAATGGGATGGAGTCAATCAGTCAGTAATCAGCTGAAGATGTACGTCAAATAATTTGCATATTGTRCACCAAATTATTTAATTACAACAGGATCAGGTTAGTTTGGTACAAATGAAKTAATACACAGAGCAATGTGCAAACAGCTTCAAAACCCTGATGTCTAAGGAACATTTTAAACAACTTTCATTTCCTTAAAATGGTATAGGTCAAATGTCATCTGCTGACTCAGCTAATGTTTAAAAAAGTAGGATTTTTATGAAAACAATGCTGCATTAATAACCCTAGAAAAAACAATGGCCCCAAAATTAATGATCCAACAATCTAACAACTACAGGAACATTTATTCTAAAACGTTGCACTTTTCTATGGTGTGTCATAGTTTATTTTATTTTATTATTATTTTTTGTTTTACACAGGAAAAAACAAATTTCCAGTTTGATCCCACACTGCACTGTAAAAATGGAATGTTGGATTTACTTAACCATGTTATGTTACCTGGTTCCACTTAACTGAGTTGAATAAGTTCAAAGCAATATACCAGTTTTTTARCCAAAGAACATGAGTATGTTGCTTTGAATTTACTCAACTCAGTTAAGTGGAACCAGGTAACATAACATGGTTAAATAAATCCAACATTTCATTTTTAGAGTGTGGTTAAAGGCATTTCCTGAGGATACCAGAGTTAGTCTGTTGTTGCTCAGTTTTTTCTTAAAGTTGGAACCTTAAAAACTCAAGCAAGGTTTAAAGAAATGTCAAATTATCAACATCTTGTAAAAATATAAAAATACTTTTGTTTTTTAAAAAGAGGAAGACCTACAAACTGGAGGGACTGTTTCTCAGCTGGCCTGGGAACGCCGGATAAGCAGAAGAAAAAATATATATATATATTCAGTCAATTTAAAATTGACTCCTTTTTCACAATAAAAAAGAACAACCAGAGGACTTCTTTGTCTRGAAGATAAACACATTATTGAAGAAAAGACTGATGAGGAGAACGTTCAGTGTCTTTTTAAACACTTGACAATTATAGGGTTAAATATTCAATAAATTCAACWCAAAAGTCTCTCAGTTTGCACATTTTGAAACAAAAACTAAAAACGAGATCTAATATAACCTAACATAAATGACCTTTTCATGCATCTTCTGAAACACAAAGCAAGGATCTAAGTTTCATCAGAAAACCTGCAGAGCAGCTCCCAGAGAAAGTCTACACCTGATCACTGAGTGTGTGCTGGATTATTTATAACCTCAACCTTCATTAGGAAATTTAATCTGAAAGGCATCAGCAGGCCCTGAAAAGAGATTTTGCTGATACGCATCAGAACAGGTCAGATAATCATGCTGTTACACAATCTAACATTTTTAATCAGGGAGCTTGCATGTGGTTCACAATTAAAATGTGAGAATATATTTTTTGGTCATTTTGACAATAAATTAAAAAGAGAACCAGCAAAATTTTTTAAAATTATTTTTGAAATAGAGAAACTGAAAATGTGCATCACTAAACATCTGCACTGATGTGTGCATTAATGTGTAAATATTAAATTACYACAGAAATTCATTAGTGGGAGAAAATTTAATCTTTTTGAGAAGCTTACACACATCGTAGAGGAATAAAACTGTAATTAGCCTGCTGTGGATAATTGCAGCGCTGCACAGAAATATTGTGGCATATCTCAATATATAATTCTGCTGACGCACAGTTATCTGTCGTCAGGTCAACATAATAACAGCAAAACAACGGTTCAATTTGTGGTTGCTACTTCCAGATCAAAGATGGTTAAAGAAATAAAAAATAAAATAAAAAAGGAAAGGAAAATCAATGTTAAGTGTGCAAAAGTGACCAGAACAGTTTGTTTAAAAAAAGGAGGTGGGGTTAAAGTGTCCATATGTCCTGACAGTTCCGGAGAATCACATCAGACATCAAAACCTGAGACCCAACGTTATTCATCGTCAAACCGGTGTCGGATTAAGCTCCTAAGTCAGGGCTATTCAACTAAACTGCTCCGAGGGGTGCACAGTTTCTGCAGGTCAACAGCTTAGGGGCTGGACATGCAGCAATTAAATTTATTATGTAAATAAAGCAAGTATTACAAAGATCTGTTACCTTAATAGTTTATTTTGAATAACGTCGGGTGACGAGTCTGACTTCTGTTTTTTCCACATTGGACTCCAACAGGAAGAAATCCTGTGCATACTGCCTGCTTAAATGTTCACTACATCAGAACTTCATCGGTAAATGTGTTTCCATCTCTGCTTTTGCGCATTTACTGTATTACAGGATGGGGG